AGAAATCATAAAATAAAAAAACTACCTGAAAAATTTCTATTATATCGACTTAAAATTTCTGTTTGCAATGTTAACTGAATAAAATTAAACCATATAAAAAATAATTTCATCATATAACTGTATCAGAAGTCATGCATCAATATAAGAATGATAAATAAATAACTGAATCGACAGAGAAATATTACAGTTATTGATTGATTTTACAACTGGTTATGTTTGTAGGCGTGTTATAAGAATAGAAAAGATATTAATAACAGTCAGTATATATGGTGGCCACAATTGAAAGACATAAGAAAAAAACACAAAAGATGTTATATGGATATGTACTTATCAGTTTGCAGACGCCTGTTGACTTAATCATTGTCTGTCATAGCCAAGGGCATAGATTTTGTCATATGTTTATGGATAATTACACTTTCTTTTCTCGAAAGATTCTATATAAATGATAATATAAATCTATTACATATTCGATTTAACTAAATCAATAATAAACGAAAAGATTTTAGTAATTAAAAAATCCAGTATAGAATATTTATCTCATTTCGAATGATTTTTAAACAAATCTTTTAGTCTGTTTGTTATCTTTTCCAGGCTTACATTTAAAATCTTTATATGTAAATGAACACAAATTATTTTTTCATCCATTAATTATTGTCAAGGTCATAATTCTGAATAGTTTATATTATTGGTGCCATATCTCTATTCAAATCATTGACTGACTGTTGCTTTTCTATTATTTCCATTTGTCCTCTCATAACAAAAGTATTTATTATTTTGCAAATTTTTTACACAATCATGCATCTATATATAATGAGTACTTGTTCATATTTTGTTATTCATTCAAGAAGAAAAAGTGCGCACCACACGAACTGATTGTTTTGTTTAAAAATAACTGTTAATTACACGTACGTAAAAGAACATTTGTAATTGTTACGAGTGGTTTACTTTTAAAGTAATTTATTGTATTGTATTTTTTTTAATTATGTTTGAAGAACTTTCGAGTATTCATTCAATCCGTAATCTACATTTTTAATACAAATGAATTGATCTGTCAGCTCAACACACATCACGTGTATTTAACATAATCACAAACAAAGAAAACAAAAAATGCAAACAGGAAGAAAAAGAAAAGAAACAAAAACACACCGAGATATGGTGTTCAACCGGGTTTAATACATAAAAACATCAACATACGTCAACAGATTTTGTTTTTTTTTCTGAAGAATATTACACAGCATATGAGAAAAAGAAAACAAAGCAAGATGGGTATTTTTTTCTGTGGTCCTTCATCCGTTCAATAACGAACGTATCATAATAATAGAGTTTTCTACAATAATTATTGAGCATCAAAAAAAAGTGATACTTTTCATGTGAGCAAATAAACGAATACTGTTGTAAAATTTCATTTGTAAATTAAGTTTTGACAAGAAAAATAAATTATTTGTTTCTTTTTATATTATATAATATCTATCTATGGCACGTTGAATACAGGAAATATACATTTTAATTGAGCATTAACATGATGGATTATCCATTTTGACAATGCAAATTAGTTGATAATTGCATTATAATTAATTCCGAATAAGTACGCTAGTAATATTGTATAGGTGGAGTTGCCGGTGAACGTTTGCCAGTTAGTGTTGAAGTAAATAATAATGGTGATGCGTTCGAACGATAATTCATATGACCTAGAACAACACGAGATGTTATTTACATTTAAATTAAATAAAATATTATTCGATATAATAGATTTTTGCAATACGAAATATCTCAATGTGTACTTATTGACCCTCTATGGTTTATATTGAGAAAAGAATTTGCATGAAGCTCTATTATTCCTTTTCTTACTATTTAAATTATTCATATTTTGTGTTTGATCACCAGTCACTTGTTTTTGATTATAATTATTAGATGTTTGATAATTAATTTGATTATTTACTACTGATGGTGGTGTCACTGACATTGTATTATTATTATTATTAGTTGTTGTTGTTAAATTTGGACTAAAATTCGGTGTACGAGATGATAAATTATTCATATCAGTATTCATTGATAAAAGTCCATTATTTATATCAAATGCATCTTGTGCATCAAGCATTTCTAATAAAAGATCAGCTTGAGGTAATAAATCATTTGCACGCATATCTAAAAACAATCGTATTAATTTTAGACTTAATGTTTTAATATGTGGCAGTTGTAATAATAATGTAAAATGACGAATATAATTATCATGATAAACACTTGGATTTGAATCACATGTATATTGTATTGCTTGATAGATTTGATTTGTTAATAAACGAAATGATTTTGTTGTTGTAGTTATTGATGCTGGAATTGAATTGATAAGTATTGTAGCTTTGAGTGCAATGAATTCTTCATGTGTTGTACGAGGATCTTTAAATGCTTGAAGTATAGTAAATAGACTTGTACAAATTGCACCTAAGCCTGGACTTGATAAATCACGATTTCTAAATTAAAAATCAATGTATATATATATGACATAAAATCAATTTATGTTTATTACCGTGAAATAATAAAATCAGGTGCAAAATGTAATGTATCATCATTACGTTCTAATGATCGTTCAATGATATCAAGAATTAAAGTATCTAACCAACTTTGCTCAATTATTGTTACTTGTTGATCGAGACTTAAACTTTCAGTATAACCTAATAATTAATAATCATAAAAAACTAAGTTTTTTTTGTATTAAAATAAATACCTGGCATTGCTTTCGCCCAATTAATAAGAACGACAAGTTCTTGATCAAAAATTTTTGCAAGTAATTGAAGAAAATATTGATCATTTAATGGACGGCTAGTATCTGCTTTAGCAGGTAAATTCAGACGAGATGCTTGTGATAGTGTAGCAATAAATTCCGCAGACGATATAGGAATACGTGTCGGATCAGAAGAATTCTAAATATGGAAGAAAACAAAAATGTTTTTTTTAAAAAAATATTTTTTTAATAATACTTTATTTAATTGTAATTGTGGTGATGAATAACTATTATGAGTTAATTGTACTGTTGATGGTGTTCCGGCTGGTGTAGTTGGGGTTAAATTAGTTGCTATAGATAGTCCTTGTTCTTGATTATTTTTATTAGAATTATTATTAACATTGGAATTTGATGACGTTGATGTTATTTTACATACTGATACAGCTTTTTTTCGATATTTTCTTTCTCGTCTGGTTGTACCTTTGGTCATACCAACTTCATAACATCGTCTTAAACGACATGCTTGACAACTTTTTCGACGATGTTTATCTATTGTACATGTATTTGTTGCTGGACATATATATTCATTTGTGCCTTGTATACTTCGTTTAAAAAATGCTTTACATCCTAAATAAAAAAAATAGTTTTTAGCAAAGCAAATCAATGAATTAATAGATTTACCTTCACAACTCCATACACCGTAATGATAACCAGAAGCAATATCATGACAAACCGCCTAAAGTGAATTAAGATTTACATTGATATATACATAATTATTTCTTTGTTTATACATACACAACGACGTTTATCTTCTTGTCCTGCTTGTGCTAAAAAATAATAATAAAAACAAATAGATCAAGTTTTTTTTTGTAATTGTAATATTAAAATCATTTATTCTCTAGAGAATATTTCTTAACAATAATCAAATAGTGTGTTTTTGAAGGAGCTTACCCATAATAATAATAATAATCGATTAACGGTGGGGAAGAAAAAGGTTTTTTTTTCTTCTTTCTTTTCGTTACAGTAATTATAAAAGGTCAATGTGACTTTTAAAATCTGATTTAATACAGCGAACTGCACTTATAACATTAATAAACTGTAGAAGTGCTATAGAGTAATACTATAAATATGAAGTGATCGTATCAGTATAACTGACAGAAAAACACAGTATCATATCCACCAAAGCCTTAAATCAATCGAGCGTATAATACATTAAAAAAACAACGCAATAGATTCGTTATTTTTTCTTAAACTACTATTCTGTTTCTTTTTTTTTATATCTACCAACCTCCATCAGTTGCTGATGGTGGGACTAAACTAGATGTTGAAGAAGTTTCTGCTCGATTATTTGATATTGGTGATATTTGTTCATTATCAGGTGATGGTGTTGAACATTGATGTTGATGTTGATGTTGTTGATGATGATGAGAATGATGGTTATTATTATTATTAAAAAAATCCGTTTGTAAGCGGATGATATGGTGGTGGACTAAATGGTTGTTGTTTAACTATTGTTGATGTTTGATTAGTTGAAGATGTTAATCGATGATTAAAATTTGTTAGCGTATTTCCTACAGCCGACATAGTCATTATATCTAATTGTTGAACATTATTTTTGTTGTTGAATAAAAAATAAGAGTATAATCTAAGGTCAAAATATATTTGTATGATGCAAGTCGATAATAGTAGAGCGCAAAAAAAAAAACTTGGGACAGTATAAAAAAAAAGGAGAAAAAAACATGAAGCTAAAGAATCGTCTATTATGTTGAATATTTTTCTTTCTATTCTCTCATCGTGTCATAGACTGTTCTCATGTTTTTTCTATTTGCCCTTCTTACAAATCAAATTTCTATAAGCAGGATAGTAAAAAAAAAAAATTCAAAGTTTTCTTTAAAATATAGAAGAAAAAGAATGAGATTTTTTTTTTCTTTTGTTCATGTTTATGTCTTCTTTTCTTTTTATAAATAAACTATCTCTTCTCATATGAACAAAAACAATAATAAAGATATTCTTTTTCTTTCCTTTATAGTCTATGAGGTCAGGGGCTACATGACCTCTGATGAAATAGGACGAATGAACACATATGTCTATGTACTTTTCTTCTGTATAGTTCAATCAATAGTTCATGTATTGATACAAAATGCACTTAAAACACGTTTTTTTTCTCTCTCGAGCACATTCACTTATTGTTTGTATGCATAACAAGAGAAAGAAAAACAAGACAGTCACTATCAGCAAAAAAAAAAAGGCTGGATGTTGTTGATGACGATGCTCATTGCATCGACGATTGAGTGTCAAGATGACGACGAAAAAAAAAAACGCAGAAAGGGTTGTGTGAGCGTATAAGCACAAGTAACACATAGCTATTATTAAGAATGTAAAGAAGGACGACGACAGAAAACGATGAAGAAAGAAAGACAGAAAGAAAGAAAAAAAAAGGAGGAAGAAAAGAATCGGTCTGCCTGACAAAATTTTCGTTGATTTTGCTGTTCTCATGAGTAGCCCGACAAGGGCGTGCGTGTGTGGACGTATATGGCAAGTCAGCGTGTTCTTTGCTTTTAGCATCTGCCGAGCAAACAATGCTTCTGATGAAGGTAATAAAAGCAACTGTAATGGCGAAAGACATACATGCGTTAAAAAACGTGATGTAGACAAATAGCAGAAGACATTTTTTACATTCAATTTATTCAAGAATATTGGAAAAAGTATTTGTACTAAACGACATGGATTTAATAAAAAAAAAGAAAGGCGGATGTGTAGGAGTAAATGTTTTTTCTTTTCAAAAAGACAAATTATCTTTTGTTTTAATAGTAAAAAAAGAGTTTTTTCTTATTATCACTCTCTTCTATTCTTATATGTTAAATTCATCATTATGTAAATACAAGAATTTTTATTCTTCGTATTCAATTAAATAAAAAAAAAAAAGGAAATTTAACTTACATTTTTTAGTGACAGCTTTCTTTCGAGGGTTTTTAATTTTTTTATCGCCCACTTTTGAAGTGTTTGTTTCAATTAAACAAAATTCTTTTGAATCTTCTATATCAAACTGTTGATCAATGATTGTATAATCGATATTTTCTGTTGATGGAGGAGAAAGTTCAATTGTTTCAGAGTCAAATGTTTCCTCTTTAATAGGTTTTACTGGTAAACTATTTATAAAATCTAACCAACTTTGTTCTTTTGATGTCATGTTTTTGAAGGATAAAGAAACTAAAATAAAGTTCATAGGTAAAAAATTAAATATTTATAATATAATTAATATATCTACTAATAAATCACTTGTACTATGATTAAGAAAATATTGACTTCGTTAATGATGTATTTTTATCACGTGAATCATTAATAATAGGTACCACATATGACGATACTAGACAGGATTGATTTCTGAATGCCATATGAAACCTAAAAAACAAAATGTTGCACCATAGTTAAAAATGTACCCAACGAGCGTTTATAGAATGGTTGAAGAAGAAGAGAAAAAGAAACGTGTATTTATCACTCTTATAAATTTGAATTTGTTTAGAAACGTTTTTTAAATGGTAGACAGAACAGAGAAATAAGTTTACCAGAAAAGAACAGCAGTAACATTTGAATAAATATAGTAAGTACAAACAATAATTACTTTATTCATATGACGTCAAAGAAGAAGAAAAAAATTGAAATAAACAATCATATAATTTCTCATTCCCCTGTTTTTCTAGACATTTAAAGAATGAATTTGACAAAATAATCAAGTTGAGAATATCTTCTTTTTTTTATTTTATCGTCCGTTGAATTTAAATGAAATTTCTTTCTTTTTTTCTTCTTATGTATGTCACTCATAATTGAAAAAGAAATCTACAATATGACTAATATTTTTGATTTTTTTTGTATATTTATTTGCATGGCATTCTTTTTTTTATCAAAAGAAAATCTAGAAATATCAATATTTAATTTAACTGATAAAGAAAGATATGAAATAAATATAAAACTACGGTTTCTTCTTTTTTTTTGTGATTATATTAATACAAAAGAAGTGAGACGTATAATTTTGCATATGTTGTCGCGTCGTTATTATCTGTATGCATTTTCATGTGCACACACACACACACAAATGTCTCATTAATATAGGTTTTTTCTTAGTATGCTTTAACAAGACTGAAAGAAAGAATCTCGAAAATGATAACACCGAAGGTTAACCATACTTTGGCGATATAAAAGTACAAAATGTCTTGCTACAGTATATTCGAATAGTGTTGGTGCGGGTCAGAGTGTAGTAGCTGGTTTACAGACGGGTGTTGGGTGCGATCGCACTCTGTCTCAAATTCTTTTTTTTAATTTTCTCCCAGCAACAATGGTCTGAAATTCAGTAAATGATATGTTGAGTGGGGGGCGACGATACAGTTTTTGATTGAAATCGCATCCATTCCCTAAAAATACCAGATTCTCCAGTGGCTCAGAATGATTAAAAATACTTTCGACATTTTTCTCGTCTACATTTACATAATATCTGTCATTTAAGCGATGAAAACCACAATAGAAGTTATTCATATATTACGAATAGTGATTTTCTCACCTAATTGAAATGCAACTAAATAAAATGATATAATTCAAGATTGATAGAATAATTGGAAGTAGAGTTATACTAGTGTCAATCACAAATAAATATGTATATGATGAAATGACTTGTCGTAACGGTTAATCATATGAGATTTTATCAGAGCGACTTGTTCCATCTTCGAAGAATAGAGATGCATACTTGCAATGCTTTTAATAGCAGCCAGATTTTGTCTGATATTCAGAGTATTTAACATTGATATACGAATACAGATAAAAATATTCAGTCTTCGAATATGTTATCTAGTTCTGAGGTAGATGATTAATATTATTTCCATCAGTTTTTTCTATTAACAATGTCAAATTTAGGAATTAGGTAAATTAATACTCCCATAGTTTATCTAATATCAAACGAATATCACTTACGATAAATTATAACTAGCTTTTCAAGAATTGTAGCGATGCAACGGAAACGATCAGTAATCGCTATGCCGGTCAAATCCAACAACCGATTAAATGAAAATCTTTTGAACTGAATAATCAGTATAAATCGATATTTATCAATATCTAAACAGATTCACCAGTATTCTCACAGCTTAAAGTGACTTCTTCAATTTAAAAAACACTATATTAAAATAATACATTTTGACGCTTTATTTGAAGAATATCAAAGTCGAAATAGATACATTAAGGGTGTGGGTGTGAGTATCATATTTATTACAAATTCATATGCACTCATCCATAGCTATCGGTCTGGATCAGTTTTCGTTGAACGGGTTAAATAGTTCAAACGACTTTCGTTTAATCACGTGATCGATTCAAACGTTTATCGGCTGATTACGGCTACAGGTGAATCAGTAATCGTCTCTCTTACATTTTTACCAAGGCCTATGATCAAACTGACAATAGAAAAATAGAAAAATTACATGTTTATCATAAGCTTATACTTCTTTGATTAGGTTTCAGATTAAGTAAAAAGAAAATAAATTTACTTTCTCAGAAGTATAAGAAAGCTTACATACTATGAATCAGTGTAAAATAAAAAAAAAGCATTCTATTATCTTTCTTATTGATATCTATACAATTTTTGAACACTTATAAATCTTTATAACCATAAGGTAGTGTATGTCATTATCATGACTAATTATCAAGTTTAAATATATCATCCGAAAAGTAAAAGAAAGAAAGTAAATATCTATAACTTATTTATAAAAAAAAGCTATGCCCTTCCTCAAGTTTCTTTTTTTTTCTATCTGAATGTCAACTGATGACATTCATCTAGCAATAAACGTCTCTAATTTTTCGACATAAATATTCTTCTATTACCGATTAAAAATGTCAAATAATTTACTATAAAAAATTAGATTTAATAGCATGATAATATAATATTAAAGAATCAAAAATGAAGTTTTCAATTATTAATTAAACAGTATTATACTTTTAATATATGTAGTACAGCGGGCTACAGGTACACAGTAGAAAAAACTTACCATGTTTATAATATTGTATGTTGTTCTACTAATATTAATGATTACTTATCTAGATATGACAATAAATCACATAAAATTGTATAGAAAAAATATCGAATGGTATGTTATTGGTTGTTGTAGTCAGTAGTCTCTCAGTGTACTTCTATACTAAATTATATTGCGCACGTGCACCCACTCGTGCTTCGCTTCGGTGATTATTCAAAACTTACAAGCCATTTTTTTTCTTCTTATATAATAGAAAAGGAAGAAGGTAAATGAGGACACATTCTTATTACAGTAATTATATACAGTAATACATGCAGTTATTAACGATTTGCTTCATTGCTTGTCAAACATCTTGTTTACTGTTCTATCCATTACTAATATTGCTACATTGGATAAAATGACAACTGTAATATTTATTTGAAAAAGAGAGACAAGTGCATTTTATATGTATATAGTCAATTTGTTCTAATACAGACTAAAAAAACAAAATATACTGCATATTAACTGATGTAAAAAGGTTAAAATAAACTAAGTTTCATTGAGCTGAAGGATAACAAGTAAAATGAAATCGTTTTGCTTGATTTGTTCTCTATAAACATATGAAAATAGAAATAAAAGATTTTGCAGTACATTCTTTCAATATATAATCGATTTTAAAGTAGAATATTATCAAAAAAAATAGAAATGTTACATTTATTAAAATTTCAGAAGAATTCTTCATCCATTTCGCTATGATATAATTATTTTCTCGACTGTAGTGAAGATTGTATGAAAAAAAACATTTTGTCTATGTGTCTGTGCCAGGGTCAAAAAAATAAAAGGTTAAAAAAACATTTATCGATTAAAACCATTACTAATCGGATAGAAATCAGTCGAGGGTGAAGCGCGTTCGCCCGACGAACGGTACTTGTCAAATATCATGAATTCTATACAATCGTAATTTGATATTTGTATTAACTTCGACAATTATCTAATAATATTTCATTTTGAATGCAAACACTTTTTTTCTTTTCATCTTTTGAATATATTGTAATTCTAATCGAAGAACTTGGAAAAAAACAGTTATATAATCAATGAAAACATTATAAAATCGTTAGAGATACAAAAAGTAAAACTAATTATGTTACCGGAAAAGTAAACTAATCAGTATCTAAAAGTAACTGGAAATTAATTTTCTATATAATCTTGATAATTATCCTCAAAACAGATAAGTCTAGTCTTGTAGTCTCGACCATGTTGAAAAGAGTAATTATAATTTTCCTGTTAAATAAATATATATTTATATATATCTCTTTTGTCAATGATAATTATGATGAGTTAAATCAAAGTATGAATATTTTTGTTTTCAAAATTAATAAGAAAAGGTTATTCAATCGAACCAAATGATTGTATATGAAGTTCAAATAAGAATCTAATTAGTAATCTTATATGTATGCTATTCGATATAGACAATCATATATTGTTAAATAGAATACATAGAAAAAATTGTTTTCATATATACATTCTATGAATAGATAACAATTAGTGTCGCTTTGAGAAAACATATTATACTTGTTATTAGCATTTGACCTTTAATAGTACTTCTCATTTTGTTTTATTTTATTATAAGTTATCTTACAATATAGCTAAGTAAAAAGAACAAAATAAAAGTTTATAAAAACATGATAATATAGCATAGATACGTATTCAGCTAATAGTACGAGCATTATTACTAAAGACGATTTGTCATCTTATATTTTTTTAAAGTGCAAATGTCACAGTATTTATATCATGTATTAACTTCTATCTATTTCAGAATAGAATGAAGTCGGTTGCATTTTAAATAACTCAGGAACAACGCTAGCCAGAGAGGTCGGTTTTTTAGGGTTGAAACTAAGACACTTGAGGATATCCGGATATATAACAAAAAATTAATTCCCAGGTATCTGTTCGAGTTTTTCAGAAACCCTCTAGAAAAACACCTTCGGGAAAACTTTGGATTGAGTACGATCATTATCACGTCTTCTAGAAAACGAAACCAGGTCGAGCGCACTAACGTGTTCTATTCAGGAGTTATAACCATTTTCCTGAGAGCTCCCAAGTCGTCATTTTCACAAGATCTGATGGGGATCGTAAGCAATCCAAAAACTTGAATTCCTAAATTTTCCCAAAGGTGATTTTCCAGAGGAATTTTGAAAAG